ATCGAGCCTCACCTCAAGTCTTGTGTTTGTCTTTCGGGACAGATACGTGGTTTGAGGTATAATGCTTTTTCATTTAAACTGTGAAAAATATGGGGTCAGTTTGACTTCATATTTTTCTAAACTTATGTATATATATATATATATTTCCTACACGTTTAAAATCAAAAGAAAAGGAAACAACTTCTAACGGGCAACTTCACACCCAAAATAGTGCGGACAACCATATAAAATCTTATATTTAAATTCTACCATTATCTTATTCCTTTGTCAACTTATTCCTCACACTAAAAATTTTAGATAAAAATAAAAATATTTCAATCACTCAAGAGTAATCCTCATATCCTTAACCTCTCATTATAATATGTGGAAGCCTTTGATGAATAGTAGATAAAGGGTGCATTAAATTTCATCAACTAACACCACAAGAAGTAACAATATTATTTTCTTCATTGGGAAGCATACACCTTAAATTAGCATTATTAATTATAAACAATGTTCTATTAAGTGATCAACTTACAAATTTAGTATTTAATTATTATTGTTTAATTTGCTACATCTATTATATGGCTTAGTCATTTAGCATTAGCCTATTCAAACCCTTTCTTTTTCTTATTACATATTTGAGAATGTGTGAGCCATTTAAGCAAATAGTGGCCTACATTTCAAATGCAAAAAATAATAATTTATAACATTATAGGTATAAGTATTTTACTTTTGGTTGTCTGTAATTAAACAAATTTATCATCGTGCTTGAAATCTAATGTGTGCAATTATTTGGAGGATATATTTTTTTCTCCATCCATATTCTTCATAAGTAGTTTAGTTTACATGTAAAAAAATATTATTTTTTAAATTAAGTATTTCATAATATTATTAGTTAGATAACATTATTGAAACAATATTATTGAGTCATAAAGAGCAAATTAAAATTATGAAATGGTTAACTAATTTTCTTAAAGATTTTAAAATAAGGTTTTATATATTTATCTAACATCCAACATATTCTCAAGGGTTTAGGAAAGCAAATAGGATAACACCTTTTTATTTAACATAATTTATAATAAAACATTTTGATGATGTAAATAATAATGGATTAAGTAGTATATCATCAATAATAATTTAAAAAATTAGCTTAAATATTGATCCAATCCCTACTATTTTAAATTTAACAGAGACAACGATACATCCAATACTGTGATATCTAAGAGACTAATTCCTTTTAAATTGGATGGTTTTGAAATCACCTATAATGTGATATCTTTCCCATAATTGAGATCTATATTTTTTAGTTTAACTTTGATTTGATAAAATAAATATTTTCTATAATAATCTTGAGAATTTATATGTATTCAAGAATAATTATAAAACTTTCAAATAGTTTTACTTAAACTATTAAGGAGCAACCACAACTAGCAAATAAAGAGACACCCACTGTTATATATGCTCTTAATAATTCTTATATCATTTTTGATTTTTTTTATGAGCGACATATTTATGAAGCACATTTCTTAACAATCTATGATGATATACCAGATAATGTATCACAAGAGTCATTAATTAAAACATATATTATTGATTTTTTTTATGATGGTTCTAGTCTACTTCTTTTCTCGTATATCATTGATTTGATCACTACACTAAAAGAGCGGTCTCATAATCTAAACACACCCTTTGATAGTATATATTATGATCATTTCCTTCCTAAGGTGGGTACTGTAGCAAAAACCCATGAAGTACTAAGCATTTATATATGTTATGAACTCAAAGTCTTGGCCTATTTTATTTGTTGCTCTCTTAAAAGTTTAATCACAACTTCTTTCCTCTAGAAAATTATTCTCTTAAAACATGAATATTAGTTTCCTCTGATCATATTAGATGGATTATATTTGTTACAACCTAACCTAGCTTACAATTATTTTTTTGTCATATCAATACTAACAACTTACTTGCTTAGCTTCCATTCATATCTATAACACTTAGTTAACATGATGATATTATAAGAGATTTGGCTATTAAACCTTCTCAATTTTCATCTCCAAACATCAAGTGGTAAATTTATTGAATAATAGGTTTATAAATAAATTGGGTTTAAAGGTAAATTGTAAGTATGCATTATTCATAAGATTAATTCTTTTTAATATGTTAGATTATGTAGTATCAGTTTAAATATGCTATGCACAAAATCAATACCATAATAAATGACATCATAAGTAGCAAATTTGATGCTCCTTTTTCTTTTCATGGAAACATATCTTAATAAATGTCATGATATTTGATTTTATAAAATTTAAGTGAAAATTTTATATAGGTTTAATTGTTAATATTGTAATTATAATAATCTTCTTTTATTTTATAAAGTTTTTTACCATTTGTCATAAAATTATGATAGGATTATAAGGACTAATGAGCAGTGGAGCTCGACTAATTTGAGGGATAGGTCCATATAAAATTTTTAGTTAAGCAAGATGCTTTTATGGATTAGAGATTTTAAGTAAATCAAGAGCGACTTAGGGACAAACATAGCCATTACTCTTATATAACATATCTCAGTCTCATAGGATATATAGTATAAGAGATTATAAGACAACAATTATCTGTGTTAATTAGCATAAGAACTGAATACTCTCATAAGTGCATTGCGAGCTGAATTGAAAATAATGCACTGGTAGTAATAATAGTAGAGCTAATAACAAGCAACATGAGAGGATAACATAGAACTTGAAAAAGGATAGTGCGGATCAAAAAGAGTGCTTTATGTTTGGTTTTATATATGACTCTAGAATTATGTGTATTAATATGTTTTTAATATTTAATGGTCATGATTTTCATGCTTAACAATTAGTGCTTATGCTTCAAATCATGCAATGTTACATTATTATTTGAAAATTTAAAATTTAATCATTGTATAACAAATATAAATATTTTGGATGAAAAATACATAAAAGGGATGCCATCAAATTATTATAAGAGTTGATATGAATTTCAGGTTAAAAGTTCATTATAAATAAATGATACAAGTTGTTCAAGGGAGTCTAAAATAATAATAATAATAATAATAATAAGAGAAATTTACATACATATCACACAAGTCATATGTATTTACATATCTCACACCTAAACTTCCATATTTACATACAACACTTTGGTATTTTAAACTTATACATGAAAAGAAGTGGTTCTCTTTTTAAAAGTGACAATAATGTTATTTTTGATGAGATATTAATGATTTGTGTGCTATGAGCGTAAATATGAAAGTTTTTGTGTGAGATATGTAAATATATTAGCATTGCATGCTATGTACATAAACACCCATAATAATAATAATAATAAATATGCTTAAAAAATCAATGTTTGATTTCTGTTGGTCAGCTCCCAAGGAACCATACAAGATAATTTCAATTTTTTTTTAAAAATTTTTTATTTAGATGTTGACAAAGTTCCCATCATAGCTTTTCTCGAGTTTTTTTTAGTTGTCAGTAAGCATTTCTAATAAATTTTACTATGAAAAATTAACTTTTTTTCTTTTACTGTTGGTGCACTGTCATTCATACTAGTGGGACGATGTTGGAAAAAAAGCGCCAAGATAAAAAACTAATTGGTCTAAAATCACAGAGAGAAAGTTAAGCATAGAAAAAACTATTGGAAATAGGTGGTACATGGAATTTAGTGGAGGGCGATGAGTACACGATATAAATTTTTAATATAAGGCGTGCTTATTTCTCGAATGCTAACAAAAGACGATGTTGAGCTTCATGTGCCATTTTGAGAGCCAAAGACATTAAGAAAATATTTAAATAAAACCAAATTAATAAGATGATGTAGATAATAAGTTGGCAATGAGTGGCAAGCATCAATGCCAAGAGCTATTAGTTGGAAGAGGGCAAGGAAAGCACCAAAAAGCTTTTTGGAGAACCGACATAAAGAAGTGATCCAACTAGTGGTTGTTGACGAAAAGGCAGCGACAAGAAAAGCTAAATATCATAAATGCACTTTGATGGAAAACTAATTGGTTAATTAGGGCTACACTACGAGTGCCTACACTCTGAAGGATATTCAAGATTTTTAATGGTTTGGCAAAGGTCAAGATCACTTAGGTATATGCATGATCAGTCTTTGGGCCGAATATCAACTGGTAAAAGATTATATTAAGCATTGAATTGACTAGTGTAAATCATAACATTGGGTTAAAAACAAGTGCTATAGCTTTATTCATTAAAGTGGTTATGGTCACCTTTTTAAATTGTGGTGATAGGTAGATTTCCTAAAGGATAAGGAAGTTCAAATTCTAAGTTTATGGTGACAAAAATTCAAAGATCTACGATGATCAGGGAAGAGGTCAGCATCTCGCTTTGTAGGCAACATCATGAGTTTTGTAATAATGGATGTGATATGGATGAGAGATAGACAACATCGTATGGATATGATGAGAGACGAGTTCAAAATAGATCACAATCTCAAAAATGATTATTGCATTCCAAATATTTATCATATGTACGTTATTAGTCTTTTAGTGGTTCTCCCCCAACATTCATTTAATTAGTTTTTAAAAATCCAATATACCTTAATACTTGAAACAATGTCAAATAACTTGCAAGATTATGCCAATCATTTTACAAATGGAATTACTTATCTTCATTTAAGTCTTATCATTTCCATCCATATGGATAAAATATGGGGGCAATTACACCTGAAATCATTACTATTTACAAATCTACCACCATCTTTCATCTATTTTTCATTTTTACCATTAATATTACATATTTCACGCTTAAACATACCTATTTACATTTACGACACCAAATTGAATTTAATGTGAAATATGTAATATTAAAGGTGTTAACTGCTATGTTTGTAAATCTTCCTTTTATCAAATTCTCAAAAATATTACATTATGCTTGAATTTGTAAATTCTTGTTTTTGGGGTGCTATGCATGCAATTATCCCTAAAATATGATATAAGTCTCAATCAAACGGTTATTGACCTGTTTGGTGATACGCGCGCGGGAAGTTATAGAGTAATGTTTTCTCCTTCCCGCGATCTTTCGATCTCCCCTTCTTTTCCGAGATAGATCGTCGCTCTGCTCTGCATTCAACCTAGCGATGGACTTCAGTGGGTCAATGGCGAAGAGAAAATGGCGTCCTCCGTCGCTCTTATTCTTCATCTGCGTTCTCGGTTTCCATCCCACTTCAACCGCCGTCGAGATCCTCTCCAAATCGAAACTGGAACGCTGCGTCAAGACATCCGATTCCGACAACTTGAACTGTGAGAAGAAGGTGGTCATCAACATGGTCATCCCTAGCGGTTCTGTGAGTTGCATTCTATTTCGTTTCATTTCGTGGTTGTTTGAGAAATTCAAAACCCTAGTTTATAATAGTCGTTCTTCTAGCATATTATTTATCGAGGTACAGCACGGAGGCTTCTATAGTGAAGGAAAATAGGAATGCGATCCTCATATTTATATGGGGGGCTTTTCTCTTCACTGACTTCCTTTGTCTCTATTTTTGAATGGTAGAGCGGCGGCGAGGCTTCAATAGTTGCGGAGTTGGTGGAGGTTGAGGAAAACGATACACAGAAAATGCAGACAATACGGGTGCCACCCATTATCACAATCAAGAAGTCTGCGGCTTACGCGCTCTATGATTTATCTTACCTAAGGGTACGGAAAATCTTTGCTATTTTACTGCTTAATAGCTTTGTTTGGTATCTTTCTTCCATTCTCCTCGTATAGTTTGTGCTATTAGATACAAAAATCTTTCAGGTGAGTTGTGAAGCTGGGTTCAAAAACTAGAAGGTGCAATTTTCCAATATTAGGTTGTTGTGGCATTGTGACTTAATTTTAGGCTTTATGTTTCATAGAAAATACCAATTTTTGTCCTGAACAAAATGGGTAATTTGAAATGTGCAGTGGTGGAACTTAGAAGGGTTTGGCCTTGAGGTTTATGACAGACCTTCTTATAGCCATATATATTATGGAAGTTTGATTTCTTAAACCATTTAGTTGCTATGAGTAGTATGAATCCTTTGTTCCTTCCTAAGTTTAGGATGAACTTTCTGTCCTTTTTTACTTTTTAATCCTGATATCATAATTGTTGATGCTATTTCAATAATGCTATTATGGGTTGTTTGGTTCCATGGCATAGGTTAATTTAAAAGAAATGGTTAATCATATTGTTTTTCTCATGATCCAGTTTAGCTAAATTTGTTGAGCCTCTATAATTTAGATTCCATTGAAACATACACAAATATTTTTTCTTTTCAAACATAGATGGATAGTACATTTGAACATTCTAAAGGAAATTTTTAGTAGAAAATTATAAAGTATAATTTAAAAGAAGCTTTGATAGATGCCTTTGCTTGCTTTTTTGAATTAAGGATATTCAAGGTTAGGTGTATTAGGTTTTTGCTTTATTTTTTATGATATTGTTTTAATTAGTGGGACATTTATTGAAATAAGTAGAATGTTAGAATATTGGAGAAAATATTAAGAAGGTGGAGGACATATAATAAGTAGAATGAAGACATGCCATTTTGGTGCGTGTGATGTTGATAATTAATAGTTAATATATTTAGAAAATGAATTGATACATAGGTATGATAGTTTTAAATATTTTAGATCCATTATATAGAAGAGGATGGTATAACTTTTGATGTCAAGGCTTAGTCGCTAAAGTTCATGTGACTTAGGAATATTGCACGATAATAGAATAAAATTGCAATTTGGATGCCTATGTTGTAGTGATCTATATGTTGATAAAAAAATTCATTGATCTCTTAGTTGAGTTTGACAAAAATAAGAATGTTACAAATAGATTTGTGAAAAATCTCAAGCAATAAATTACGTAAAAGCTATGTTAAAGGAACAATTGGATTGACATCTATTGAATTGAAGGTTGTTGAAAATCATCTTCAATTTTTGAATAAATGAAGGATGGAAAAGCATCCATTAAATTGTTTGACAAAATTATCTTTGAAAGATTTTGAAATAAATTGAGTACCTAAGTTTGCATGGATAGAAGTTTCTTAAAATGAATTGTAAAGAATAAACTTAGCATATTATATAACATGCAACAAAAGCAAATGAAAAGTGACGATTAATGAAGTTAATCTCGATAAGTTAAGATAATGCAATGACAATGATGATGTATTCAAGTGCCGATGAATGTTGAACTTTCCTCAAGGTAACCTTTAATGCTTTTTTGTTGCTATCTTTTGTTATTTGAGATATACTAAAGCCATCTTTAATCTATAAAGATTGGCCAATTGCTTTGTAAGTGTATTTTTCATGGTCGAGGACCATGAAGTCATGGAGTAATTCACATATCATATGATTGTTTTTATTCCAAATTTCCCATACAAATCAAAGTTATGATATACTAGTTGTTTAAAAACTATGCAATTAAGGGTCTGTATGGAGTAGTTGCAGCTTTTTAGCTTTTTAGCTGTAGCTACTGCAGGGAAGCTGATCGTCTGTTTGTTGCAGCTGTGTGAAAACAGCTGTGGAACAACTGTTTCTAGAAAAAATGACCATTCTGCCTCTATTTAGTAAATTTGTTTAAAACAGAACTGTGACAACCACATATTTGATACTTCAGAAGCATAAATTCATTTCAAAATAAAACAAAAGTTTAGATACACAACTCACTTAACAACGAGTATCAAAAATGTTAAAGAAAAAAAAATTAATAAAATTATAAATAAAATAATGATAATATTATTTTTAATATGAAGACGATGTATGTCTTGTCCTAAATTGTCCACAAATGATGCTGTCAATTTGTAATCACTTTCGGATGCTGAATCAACCTGATCGTCAGCCCATCTGAAGAAGACACTTTTCTGCGAAGCTCTGCGGGTATCTGTAAAACTATCGACCTGACGTGATATCAGAAAGGAAGTCTCTAGTCTGCAGCGGTATAACAATCTTTGGGACCTCTCTGAAATTCTGTAGCTTATCTTTCCTGAAAACAACTAAATAAAGTTCATTAGTCAATTATTTTAAGCTGGAAACTTTTTGAAAAAAGATGAAAACAAGAAGAAAAACATATAAAAACTGACCAACACCAACTACCAACTACCAACTCTTTCCACATCTGCGTAAGGCCAATCAAATGCGCAATCAGAATCCTTGCTTTTGAATTGCCAAACATGCAATTTGAGCCACTAAGCCCAAAGCCGCCCATACATTCCATTCCAACAAAAATTGTAGTTAATCCAACAAGAGAAATTTTAGCCACTGTAATGCTGTTGAACACAAACAAAAAACCACCGAAAATCTAACAAGTCGTTGCACATCCAAAGGAATCCAACCCCATTGTAATAGATACAAACGAATCCAACCCAAAGCCAGCAAAATCCAACAAATCCAACAAGCCGATGTGCATACAGAAACCAAGTTATACTTTTCGCGGCTGTGAAGAGAGGAGAAGGTAAGCATACCGTGTGCGAAGAGAAGAGGAGGAAGAGGGGAAGAATAATTGGGCAACCAGAGAAGAGAAGGAAAAGGAGGGAGAAAACCAGAGAGGAGTGAACGACACCGTCAATGGGAGGGGAGAACCTTTTCGCAGGAGTTAGGGCAAGAGGGGATCGGGGCAGCAAGGTAAAAAGACACATGATAAGCGGGCCGCGGGCTATAGCGGGGGCCCGCTTTTTACAGATTTCCGTCCGCGCCGCTCCCCCGCTGCCTCCCCAAACAAACGAAAAGAACGGCCCTAGGCCGCGCGGCTCCCCAACAGCTGCGCCAAACGGGTCGTAAATATCATTATTGATGGAGTACATTTAACAATTTCATCTTTGTACTTCTTCTTGCTTCGATGAATGAATGAATCTTGAATAGTTACATTTGAATAAAGCCACAAATGTGTATCATGTTGGATACTTGATGCTGCAATTTTTAAGATATGTTCTTAATCAGCGAGACATTTGTTAATGGTAGAAAGTTAGAATAATAGAGAAAGTATTGAGAAGGAGGAGGGCGTATAATTAATTGGACGAAGACAAAATTTTGGTGGGTTTAATACTTATTAATTAGGATGACTTACATATCTAACACCTAAACTTTTATTTTAACATACCTTTTTTCCTTCCTTGTGCATGAAACTGTGTATTTGAATTTTTATAAGTAAAAATGATGGTAGTTTTGGTGTAATATGAACGATTTGGTTGGTATAAATATAAAAATTAAAGTTTGGGTGTTAGATATGTAAACACATAAAAATTAGGTGGTACATATATAACCCCCCTTATCCCTTAATCGTTAATATTTATAGAAAATAAGTTGAAATTGAGGAGTGATAGTTTTAATTATCTTAGATCTATTGTATAGAAGAAGATAATATAGATAATGTTATAACTTTCAAAGTCAAGGCTTTGTGGTTAAATATATCTATATCTCGGGAATATTGCTTAATAAAAGAGTAAAATAACAATTAGAATATTGATCCAAGTGTTGGTTGGTAAAAAAAAATCATTTAAAGCTTAGCTGGGTTCGACAAAAATAAGAATGTTAGAATAAATGCATGAATTCTTGAGCAATAAATTAGTGAATAATTATATTAAAGGAATAATTGGATTGACATCTATTGAATAGAAGATAGTTGAAAATGAACTAAAATGTATGGACATGAACAATGAAGGATGAAAAATGCATCAATTAAATTGGTTTGCAAAATTAATGTTGAAAGATTGTGAAGGAAACTGAGCAGACCTTAGGTAGCATGGATAGAAGTTTCTTGAAATGAATTGCAAAAGGCCAATTTAACATCTTTTATAACAATGAACAAAACAAATGAAAAGTGATTATTCACAAAGCTGATACCAAATAATTAAGATAAGGCTATGATGATGACATTCAAGTGACAATGCATTTTAAACATTCCTCAAGGCTCAACTTTAATGCTTTTTGTTGCTATGTTGTGTTATTTGATATGCAATGAAGTTATCTTGATCTATAAAAATGGGCCAGTTGCTTTGTAAGTGTTTTTTATTTTTTTGTTGGCTAAAAATTCAAGGAGGAAAATCACATGTGATATAATGACTTTTCACTAAAAAATTTCCACACATATCAAAATTATGATATATCAATTATTTAAAAACTAAGTAGCTGAAATTCATTACTAGTGACCTTCATTTAACATTTTTATCTTTTTATTTGCCTTCCTTTTTTCAATGAATGCAAAAATATTGAGTAATTTTTATTACTTTTGTAAGATAGGCATTGTGAAATTACATTCTAGGGATTTTTGAAAATCATTCATTACTATGATCATAAATCCCATAAAACCAACATAGCCTTCTAATTATATTTAAAATATCAATAACAAGTTTTTAGTCAAATAAGTTCATTGCTAAGCTTTTCATACATGTGCTTAACTTGTCAAATAAGTCCACTTTAGCTCAAAAGGCTAAAAACTTTGTTATCAGTCAATGTCAGTCCAATGTGATCGACCAACTTAGGGAATCATATTCATGTTATCATTATGAGAACCATGCTTTTACCATCCGGATAAAATGGGTAAATCTAAATAACTAGATTCCGCCATCAAAGATGACGGTAGAATTTAAAAGAAATGGTTAATTATAGTCTTATGGGTGATACTGCAGAAAACCAAATCCACGATGCAAGACTCAAATTTATTAATAACTTAAAAGATGGTTACA